CAAGTGTACTTCGATGCACCCACCTGCCGAGGAGGCACCACCAAGATCTTCCTCGTGGGAGACTACTCATCATCAGCTGAATTCTTTGTCACCGTGGCCGTGTTTGCCTTCCTCTATTCCATGGGGGCTCTGGCCACCTACATCTTCCTGCAGAACAAGTACCGAGAGAACAACAAAGGGCCCATGCTGGTGAGTGTGACCACAAAGATACGGCGCCTGGGGGGCATACAGGCACACAGCCACGCTAACAGCCACCCATGGCGCTGCAGTGGCGCCAGCGGCTGGGTCCACACTGGACATAGCAGGGATCTGGGGTCACAGAGGCCACAGGGACAGACTCACAGCCCACACAGAATCCCAGACAGGCCTACGCTTGTGAGCCTGGCAATTCTCACCCAACCACGCAGTCTAGATCCGAGGAAGAGCAGGCAGAGGTTCACTGGGACAATCAATCACACACATCACCTCCTCCCAGACATACAATGACACCAATTCCCACGGGCGGATGTGAGTGGGAAGACACACCACTTTCCACAAATTCGGAAACCGTCCCACGGGGCTCCTCCCCCGACAGCTGCACCCACATATCGCAATCACATGCCCACACCCCACATCCTCTACGTCGCAAGCTGGCAGGGCCACCTTCAGGTAAAGTCAGGGGAGACACAGGCCTGTTCTGGGGTGGGGCGGGGCAGGGTGGGGTGGGGGGGACCCTCCTCCCAAGAAAGCCTGTGCTGCGAGGAGTGATCAGTGGACAGCTGCCCACTCACACTGCTGCCTTCATCACCCCTGCCTGTTCTAGGACTTTCTGGCCACGGCAGTGTTCGCCTTCATGTGGTTAGTGAGTTCATCGGCGTGGGCCAAGGGTCTGTCAGACGTGAAGATGGCCACGGACCCAGAGAACATCATCAAGGAGATGTCCATGTGCCGCCAGACAGGGAACACGTGCAAGGAGCTGAGAGACCCTGTGACCTCGGGGCTCAACACCTCGGTGGTAAGCCCTGGGAAGCTGGCTGGACTGCCTGGAGGAGGGAAGCTGGGAAAATCGCAGCCTGGCAGGGGGAGTGGGAAAGAGAGAGAAAGAGAGAAAAAGAGAGAGGAAGAGAGAGAGAGAGAGAGAGAGAGAGAGAGAGAGAGAATATGAAAGGAGAATCGGGAGATCCAAGGGGACTTCCTGGAGAAGGCATGTCAACACCAGAGCATTGAAGGATGAGACAGCATTTGTTAATCACTGTAACACCACAAACAGGTCCCCCAGGGGAGAACATGAGGCCTTCTCTGTAGACTGGGCTTGGGACACCTGGATCCGAGATCCAGCCTTAGTGGTGTCGTCTCTAGCAACTCAGTAGCCTCTTGCACCTCAGCCTCCTCCTGTGCAACATGAAATAACCTGGACGCCCCCTACTGGCTGGAGTCAGACTCTGCGCTCAGGTCCCCGACTCTGCTCTCTGCAAGTTCTGTGACCTGAAACTAGGCACCCAGCCTTTTTGGGGATTCAGTTTGAAGACCTAATCATGGCCCTGCCTCCAAGTTGAGTATTTAGTAAACAATTAACATACAGCATACGAAGTGCCCAGAAAAGGGCCGGGCACCAGGTAAGTCCTATACAGATGCTCCTGTTTCCTGTCTTACTATGCTGGCAGCTTAGCCTGGCAGGGCCACAGTGTAAGATGGAGACATTAACTCCTGCCTCAAAACTGATTTCAAATGTACAACATGTAAAGTGCCTAGAAGAGAGTGTGGCATAAAAGGCAAAAGGCAAAGAGAGCATTTTGGGTTTTAATAAATATTTTACCTAAGTTCCACATACGGAAATCTTTAGAAGTACTTATATATTTTCTACATGTGCACTTATACATATATTTGTATGTACATATGTGTGTATATGTGTTAGTGATATCTATGTAGTAAAATGTATGTTTAGTTTGCCACATTACAAACTTAAATTTATTATGTTTTATCCATGTATAAACGTGTTATGTAGGTAATACCTATATATGCAAATTACTCGTGTATGTTACACTGTTGGCTCTCAACATCTCCAGGAATCTGAATTCTAACTCGCTCTCCCAAAGATGCTTTTCCTGCACACTGACGTTCACGCTCTGGGACTCAGGGGTCTAAGAACCCTGCGGGAGCCCACGGATTCAGGCGCGACGTGCCCATGACTACGCGCGGGGGGGGGGGGGGGGGGG